GTTAATGAAGAAGCATTTCAACAACCAGAAGAAAACCAACAATTATTACATGATTCTACAGGTTTTGAAGAAAGTTGTGAAGCCAATGATGAATATGAAGTAATAATTTCTACTAAAACAAGAAGCAAATACCCAATTAAGCAACATAATCTACGATATAAAAATGCTTAAAAATTTGTTTTAAATAATTCTATTATTTTTAAAATAAAATTTGAATTTATACTTTCATTAATTTCGACATTTTTCGTCACCTTTGACGCTTTCATCACTTTCGTTTGCTGAAATACTTTCTACCCTCCAAAATACTTTCGGCATCCAACCTTGGGGGGTATTGGTTAATAAGTTTTAGAGGATCCACGAAAGACTATTTTATAGAAATTTTTAATATTCGTGAAGAATTTTATGTAGATGGGATTCAGCAAAAACTAAAAGGTATTTCATTAATGATTGTTTTATATTTCTGACTTTATATTGATTAAAGTTTCATTAATTATTGTTATGAATATCCATCAACCAGTAGTTGTTATAGTAACATTAAACAATAATGTGCAAACGACGACAACGAATCATCTTTTTTGAGGATTATAATAAAGATTAAGATCCAGTTTGTATAGGAGTGATCAAAGTAATCGTTAAGGACAAGATTTATGAACAAAACATACTAACGAATGTTTTATCAATTATTCAATAGTTTGTGTAGGAGTAATTGAAGTAAGCATTAAGGACAAGATCTATGAACAAAATATACAAACAATAGTTTGTATAGAGTGATCGAAGTAAACATTAAGGGAACAAAATATACTAACAAAGTTTTATCAATTATTCAATGGTTTGTATAGGAGTGATCGGAGTAGCATTAAGGACAAGATTTATGAACAAAACATACTAACGAATGTTTATCAATTATTCAATAGTTTGTGTAGGAGTAATCGAAGTAAGCATTAAGGACAAGATCTATGAACAAAATATACCAACAATAGTTTGTATAGGAGTGATAGAAGTAAGCGTTAAAGACAAAATCTATGAACAAAACATACAAACGTTTTATCAATTATTCAATAGTTGTATAGGAGTGATCGAAGTAAGCATTAAGGACAAGATCTATGAACAAAAGATACTAACAAACGTTTTATCAATTATTCAATAGTTTGTATAGAGTGATCGAAGTAAGCATTAAGGACAAGATCTGTGAAGCTTGCAAAGCAAGTTTCACCAAAATGAACGTTTTTATCAATCATTCAATAGTTATGTTTATTATTTATTTTTGTATATAAATTTCTCTTTTATTTTAACTTATATTTAATAACATCACTATGATAAATAATTAAATGAATAAAATCAGATATAAAACGCCTTTAATTTAATCATCATTGTTGCTTGTTTGTTGTTCTAATCATTATTTATGTATATAGGTAAAGAAAAATTTAAATTCTATTTATTTATTATTTACTTTTAAAATAAATGTTTTTATTATAAGCGACATACCTAAATCTGTAAATATTCATAATAATGTAATATTTAGACACTTATTTCTGCTTATACTTGCAATTGGACGTGTCAAACAAAATTTTGCGCATATGAATATAAAGGCAAAATTTGACTTTGAGGGTCAGATTATTTTTGGTTTTATTAACAACCTGCCTTAAATTTTCTTAAAGCAGATACATATGATAAAGAAATTATATCTCAAATTTGGTGGTGGTTGCTACACAGCAAGGGTTCAAACAAGGGTGTGAAACATTCGATTATGTATAAAATTTTACTATTACTATTTATATATTAATATGTTTTACAACTATAGAACGGTGGGAAATGTCCTGTGACTGTTGTGAAAATTTAATTTGTTTTATTTGGATTATTGTTTAACAAACAAATAAACAAAAAAATGGTTGAGAAATTAGAAAATTTTCAAAAATCCGTTAATTCGAGATTTAATTAGTACATCTGTTATATCGAGAAAATTTACTATATAAAAATGCAGCAGCCTCAATCCGTTAAATCAAGATTTTTATTAGACATCCGCTAAATCGAAATTCACTGCACTGTGTATATCACAAACAAACAAATAAAAGAAGTGGTAATGAATGACCCGAGCCAAACTTTTGATATTACTACGTTTCATTTTATTTGCAAATATCGCATATTCAGCAACAATAAAAATTATTTTAAAAAAAATTGAGAAAAACAATGTATCTCAATATTTATCCTCAAAAAAATTTCCTGACGTCTGATATGTATTTTTCCTGGGAAAATTTTTTTTTTACATATATGTATTTATTGAAAAATGAAGAAAAGATATTGAAATATAAATTTATAATCTTATTTTTAATATTTTAAACTTCAAGTGAAATAATTGTATTTAATATTTTGACCTTCAAGTGAAATAAAACAAAATAAAAATGTATACGGTCAAATTGTATATATTATATTAATACAAATATATAAAATAAAACAAAAATTTAATAATTATGTTATTATAATAGTTCTAACAGTTGATTAACAATATCTAGAAGCTGCTGGCGGCTAATTACTATTTGGTCATTTTGATAAGTATTAGTAATTTGAAAGCCTCGATAATCAGTGCTCACGTTGTTGTTATTGTTATTATTGGCACCTGTTAGAATCATACTGTTTTGACCGTCAGAATTGCTATTAAAAGTGCCTTGTTGATTGAAATTGTTGTAAACTAAGTTTCCATGGGTAAAGTTAGTAAACTCGACGTTTCGATTATTTTGAATAGAAGCCGAACCGGTAAAATTTGTTTGTCCGTTTGGATGAGAAACAAGATTAAGATTTTGGTTATTGATACCCATTTGAATCACACTGTTTGGGCTAACAGAATAGCTGCTAAAAGAGTCTTGTTGATTGAGATTGTCATGAGCTAATTTTCCATGGGTAAAGTCAGTAAACTCGGCATCTTGATTGTTTTGAATAGGAGCCGAGCCAGCAAAATTTGTTTCTCCGTTTGAATGAAGAACAAGATTAGGGTCTTGGTTATTAGTGCCATTAATCAAATCATTGTTGTCATAACTTTGATAATCCATTTTTAATTTTTTAATTTTTTTTTTAGTAAATTTTTTTAAATATTGGTTTTTGTTTATTTTCAGGTGCTTTTATAGCGATTTAGACTATTGTATAAAAAAATTTTACTTTAACATCTAATTAAACAATATAAATTATTTTTGTGTGATTGGTTTGTGATTATTATTATTATTCTTTATCATTATCAAGATTAGTCGTAAATAAAATCTTATATTCCACATTTTTACTTTAACAATATAAATTATTTTTTTAAATAAAAAAAAAAGAATGTTTCTGTGTAACAATACAAAATAACTCTTCTACTTACAACACTGGCAATGATATAATAATGACAACACTATAGATAATATCAGCAACAAATCAACTAAATATCATAATTATGGTTACAACTATTATCCACGTAATATTGAGGATATTGAAAATTTAACTCTAAAAAAAGACAATATGAAGAGGAGTAATATTAGGAGTAAAAATATATTAACCAATTATTATTACTATTATTACCATCATAATTGAGGTTTGGTAATCAATTGAGTCTTCAAATGGGGTTGTCAGCCTTGGAGGAAAAGGTACAAATTTTTTATTTAATATAAGATCCTTTATTTTTTCAAGAAGATCAAATCAAAATGCAAATACTTAGTCGTAAAAAGTATCCAGCCAAGGATGGATTTGAAAACAATAAACAACTGAATATAATTGCCAGAGCAATATTAATTTATCCTGAGATTGTAGAACTTTGAAACAAATTGGCTATTATGATGTATGTAAAGATGACAATAATTTAATATTACAAGGATCTTTGCTGATTCTAGTTTATCAAATTATAAAAATGAAGTTGTTTATCCAACTACAAATGATTTTGTTGAACATCTTCATCATCTTTATGAATTGGAGACCCACTTTTTGGGATGCTAGGAGTCTGACAAAACTTAAAATTGTTGAATGTTGTGTTGTAGAAGCTGTTAAGATCAACAAAAATTTTAAAAAATATCAAGTTCTAAAATTTCTAAAGAATTAATTGATTTTCAAATTTTTAAATATAATAGCTCTTCTATTTACAACACTGACAATTTAATTAACAATGATATAAATAACAAATCAACTAATTATTATCAAAACTATGGATTATTTACATAATATTGAGGATATTATTACTGGACAAAATATTATGTTGAAAAATTAATATACAAAAATTATAACATTTTAAAAAATTTAACTGATAATTTTTATTGTTCATGACTCAAGCTTCAAAATTTATCGGCTGGTTTTTTCTTAAACTGAAAATTGGCAGTCTTAGCATTTTGAAAATTCCGAATTTTGTTATACGCTTAAGAAATTGAGACTAATTTCGTGTAACAGTTTTTTTTCAATAGAATATTTTCTACAACATACGTACATTTGATATTATATTACATTAAAAAGTAATCATTACCAAATTTGGTCGTGAGATTCAAAATATTGTAATATTTGTCACACAAAAAATTATCGCGTAAAAAAAATACTAATTGGGACAGTCTCCAGCAAAAACCACCTCCGAAAAATTCCGAAGAATTCTTCGGAATTTTTCGGAGGTGGTTTTTGCTGGAGACTGTCCCAATTATGCTATAGTATCATATCATAATGTAATTAAATAAAAAAAATTTTTTTTTAAATATTATTATTTTATTTTTAAATTAATGTTTTTATTTATTTATTTATTATTTTATTATTAAGTTAAAACTGGTTTTATCTTGTTTTTTAAAAAAAACAACTCGAAAAAGTAACTTTTTTTGTGAATGACAAATTGTATAAAAAAATGGTAATATTTTGAGACATGGAACAAATGTCAAAGAACATATTAAAAGAATATCGAATAAAAAAGGGTTACTCTTCGGGATGTAGAGAATTTCATATTTATTAATATATAAAGAATTATTCAAATCATCCCAACTATTCATAATTAGTTTTAGTATTCAATTACATCAATGATTGAAATTTTATTCAAATAAAACTATTTCGAAGCTCTGAAACTG